TACATTATATATTAAAAAAAAAGAAATATGTGCAACGCCCACAAGAACCCACTCAGTTTGAGATGAAATGTGAACTGAATAAATTTAATCATGCAGTAAATAAAAATACGATTACAACTTATAAACACGCTTGTGTTATTATTTTCCAGTGAGCAATACTATACACATAATAATATTGTTCAGTGTGAAGGGTGAAGAACAGAGAGTCAATTGTGTTTTCAAATTCAAAATCAAATTAATTGTTTTCTTTCGAAGCACAAACCCTGGAGAATAATGGCTGCAACAGCTGATGTGAACCATATCAAGTCACTAACACTGTTGAATTTAACAACCCAGTATCACTTGCAGTTATTTTTGCCCATGTAGTCTTCTTTTATGTAGAAGTCCATGTCCATTACAGTTACAACAATTATATTTTCTTTAGATGTTGTTTTTTGTTTTTCGTCTCAAGAGTTTTCTTCTATTCTTTGCTGTCACTACAAAACTGCCATTATGTTTATTGGGCCATATTAAATTGTTATTTACAAGATACCTAGATACTTCCCTGACTTAAAAACACAAGTGCAAAGTGCAGTTGTAAAAAATTACAACAGTTTTTCTAACTTACTTTAAACAGTTTCACAACATATCTCAACAAACTGAGGTATGATCCATTCAGAGAAATCTTACCATCTTTCTCCATCTGCATTCTTGATCCTTTATATCTCCAGATGACAGTGGGAGAAGGGGAACTGACGACGTCACAAATGATGTTGGCATTGTCTCCTTCAGTAAACTCTTGGGGTGAGGGAACATTCGTGAAGGTGATTTTTTCTGTAATAAAACATGCAAAACACATTTTTTACACAGTGATATAGTAAGTGTCATCAAAACATTTTGACTTAATGCGTAAGACTGTTTGGTAGAAATAGATTTTACCTGCAATTTTCACAAAATAAGTAAAACTGGATGACGCTTAAAAATATCGTATTGTTAATTAATAAAAATGTTTCCCCTCAAGCTTGTTTTCTCAGAAAATGCTGAACATTTCTATACTATAACTCTTAACAAGTTATCTTGACTCACTACTTTTAAGTACCAGAACTGAAATATTTCCAGTCTACACTATTTTTCTAAAAGTAATCAATGCTTTGATGGAATATGCTGGTACATGGTAGAATGGAAAGAACAAAAGTTACCTCGCAGATTTAACTCGGTTACAAATTACAGGGCCGCCCAGTCAAACTTTAACACATGGATACATTCATTTTTAGCTGCATCGCAGGAAACAAGCTATACTCTCTATGCATTCACATGCTACATGCAATATCGATAAAAATAAAATAAAACAGATTGTATAGATTGTATTTCTCATTGCCTGAAGGGTTGCTGCAGCTATTTTCATTGCTATAGTTGGAATGTGTATAACTTGCTAAATGTGGATGTGTGTGATTTTGTGAGTTGACTTTAAGCCAGTTCCATAAAAAAAAAAAAAAAAAGATTACAGGAGAAAAGGCTAAAGAATAGAACTTCAGTCTCATTTTGAGATAGACACCATATATCGATTACCGTATATGCATATCTAAAAGCTGCACCTAATAATAAATAAACATTAAACATTGAAATAACATGACAAGTCTGTTTGGAAAATTAAGGGATTTTGCCGCTGATGGACATTTTCTGATGTTTGGCATTCATGGAAAATAAAAGCCATTACTCACAAGAACTGCACAACAGACAGGATCATTAAGCAGCCCTCTAATGGTCTTCCGACCGTTTATTGAACTGATGAAAAATCTATCCTCACTTGAAACGAAAAAGAGTAATGTGTTGCCCTTGAGCAGTCAATAAAATACTATGAGTTCAATAAACAAGATTTTTTCCCTATATGCTTGTACCGCTCAATACTTTGCAGTGTGTGTAAGGTGGGAGAAAAACTTACGAAAGATTTTCACTGTAATGGTTGACTCCCCTTGCTGGTCTCCATTGGTAGCGACACACTTGTATGTCCCTGCATTCTCAATCCCAGCTTTATACAGTGTGAGGGTGGAGGATGACTCATCGTTACGGGTTACCGTTATGTCTGGTCTGTTCGGTTCTATCCTATCCCCGCTCGGTCCAAACCAGTCTATGTGCTTGGCAACGCCTACAACTGAGGGCACAGTAAAGAGCAGCACATAAGAACACAAGTGTTTCTAAAGGTACACATTAGACATCAGTGAAGTCAACCAGTGTCCACAGACTCAGCACTGTGGCTTGGATATTCTTCTGCATGAACAGGGCTCTGGTTCATACATTTTAAATGAAACAATAAACCAATGGGGACGGCAATACGAAACACAACATTGAGGGAGCTGCAGGGATAAGTGATAAACATCATAGACCTTTAAATCACCGGGACGCCGAAGGTTTCTAAATTATGTCTTGTGAAGTGATACATTTGGGGCTCCTATCAACCTATTACTGCAGTGTCACAGCACTTTAACTGT